TCACAGGTGATCCAGTTTTATCCAATTATTACTGCACTCAGTTGTAAAAAGACTTTGCTCTGTGAGAGAGAATTTTATAAAAATAATAATAATAATAATCTGTAAAACTTGAGTTGTAACAAACAAAAAAACAACACAAAACAAAACCTCCTTTATTGGAAGAAAGTTTTACGCTTTATAATGTAGCGCTTTTTGTTTGGTTTTTATTTCATTTCTTTTTTTTACTTTTTCATTTGATATTAAACTATCTAAAAAAGTTAAATCTGGACCAGAGGACCAGATTTAACATTTTTAGATTTTTCTACCTGGATTATTCTGCAAGCATCATGATATTAACCTATTAACCTATATTTATTTATATGCTTTTTATATTATTTATATTATTGTGTGTTGTTGTTTGTTCATCTTTTGTGCTTTTATTTGAACCAGGTCTCTCTTGTAAACGAGTCCTCGAGGCTCAATGAGACTAACTTGCAGAAATAAAGGTTTAATTAATTATTTAATGTAGCGAACATGTAGTTAACAGATTGGATCAGCGGGAGGGCAGCTCCGCTCTGATTGGCTGATGGGGTTTGTTCACTTCCTGCTTTGGTCACGTGACCGCAGAGCGGTCGGATCCTCCGCTCTCTGGGTCCGCAGGTAAAAACTGGAGCTCCGTAATAAACAGTTGGATTCAACGGGTTTTGTTCTGATCCGGACTCGAAACGCTTCGACTCGAACCGACCACGGTTCCGCCACGTCTGGTGAGTAAAAACAGGAAGAACTTAATCTCGTTTTAACGCAGGAAAACCGAAGAAAAGTGACGAATTCTTCACGGGATTGGGATTTAATCCAAAAAGATTCAGTTTGGATTAAAAATGGGTCGAAGTAAAAGATATTTGAACAAAAAAAGCCTCCGTTTTTATTTAACGAGTTATTAAAAAAATGACTCCTTCACACATTAGCACGCTGTAATAAACATTTTTAAAGTGATTATATATATATATATATATATATATATATATACATATATATACAT